ATATATATATATATATATATAGATATATATATATATATATATATATATATATATATATATATATATATATAGATATATAGATATATAGATATATAGATATATAGATATATATATATATATATATATATATATATATATATATATATGTATATATATATATATAGGCCTGGGCCAGGCCTATATATATATATATAATATATTATATATATATATATATATATATATATATATATATATATATATATATATATATATATATATATATATATATATATATATATAGGCCTGGGCCAGGCCTCCATATATAATATATAATATATATTTTATATATATATATATATAAATATATTATATATATATATATAAAATATATATATATATATATAATATATATATATATATATATTTTTTTTTTTCAGCCTTAGTTTCTAAGGGTGGGTAATAAAGAGCAATACTTGAAGTTAATAACTAACGTTTTACTTACAATAAATTTTCAGTATTTTTCATCTTTGGGGTACGACGTACCCCACGATAGTGGTAGCGTTGCAAAAAAAAAAAATGTACAGCAAGGTTACAACGGTTTCAGGGGTCACCGCCCCCGCGGACCTGTCCCAAACCAGGCCTCTTGGTTGATGACCTGATCAATTAGATTGTTGGTGCTAGAAGCCCAGAGTCGAGCATAATCACTGCCTGGCTGACCAGGAACCGACTTAGAGTTCTCTCTTGAAGAGGGTTTCCTCTGCACTTATGCTTTTCGTGGGAATATTTTACACCGTCTGTGAGCCTTTTCATTTCGCAAGGATTCAATGTGGTCTGCTGATTTGGAATCAATTCCTCCAGGTTAGAATTATGATACACCTTCTCACCTGCTTTCCAAAGAGTAAAGTTCAAGAGTTGCCAATAATTTAGCGGCTTCACAATATATAAAAGCAGTGAAGATTCTCTGAACATTCTCCAGATCTGCAATTACACTGTCTTAAAGTGATGTATTAGTGTATAGCATATTATAGTCTAGAGAGAACAAGTGGTTTGAATGTGAAAATGGTATACAATACTGACAGGTTGATAAGTAAGACACATGTGCAACAGTTAGGCATCTTTATTCCGAATAAAGATACCTAACTGTTGCACATGTGTGTTTCTTATCAACAAGTGCTTTAAAACAGTATCATCATTGATTTAGTATATCACTGTGTTCGCTGGTGTGATTGTGACACACTGATATTATTACTCATAAGTCCCTTACATTAATTTTCCACTCTACTAAGTTAACTGAGTTTGTCTGTTCCAGTTTTTATTTCCTCAATTCTCCCATAACGGAGTAAGTGAATTTTGTCCCCACTGAACATGATGGTGTTGTCAGTGTCCCGCTGGAACACCTGGTTTATATCAACCTGGAAGCTGATGGTGTTGTCAGTGCCCCACTGGAACACTTGGTTAATATCAACCTGGAAGCTGATGGTGTTGTCAGTGCCCCACTGGAACACTTGGTTAATATCAACCTGGAAGCTGATGGTGTTGTCAGTGCCCACTGTAACACCTGGTTTACATCAACCTGGAAGCTGGCTGTGTCATCAATGGATGTCACTCTTATAGCAATTCTTGTACGCTGTAAAGGATGATACAGTGCTGTGATTTATATCTCTGCCTGTGAAAAAGACTTGGGTCTAGTACTGTGTCTTAAGGAATAAAGTTTTTCACTTAGGCAGCCTCTCTGATTTCACTTCGCTCACTATTAGTATTGAGTTTTTTTTTTATTACGAAGCTACCAAATATCCATCTGCCGAATGAGAAGAGTGAAAATTTGTTTATGCCATATATTTAATTCATGTTAAGCGAGAAACCCTGTAGGTCATTAAGCGCAAGATGTAGTGGAGGCTCGATCCTCAGTCTAAGCTCGAGAAAGACGCGCTTCCTATCTGTAACCACCCATCTCCCGTTTATGTCATAAAAATGCGAAAATCAATCTGAACATAACAATAAATACATACATACATACATACATACATACATACATACACACACACACACACACACACACACATACATACATATATATATATATATATATATATATATATATTATATATATATTATATATATATATATATATATATATATATATATATATATATATATATATATATATATATATGTCGTGCCGAATATGTAAAACTGGTCAATTAGCAAGAACTCATTTAAAATTAAGTCCTTTCTAAAATATACTCTTATACGTTTAAAGATATATTTTTTTCATTAATGTTCATGTAAAAATTTATAATTTTGCACCAAAAGGAACTTAGAAAACTTACCTAACCTTATTATAACAAGCGCAATTTATTTTAGCCTAACCCAACTATATATATTTTAGATTTGTTTACAATAATTTAATACTAAACAAACACAGTGAAATATATTTTTTTCGTTTGGTTCAGAATGATTTTAGCGAAATTATTGCATACACAAATTTTCACTTGTCCTATATGGCAAGATGAGCGTT